TATTGTTTTGGAACAGACAGATATGCATACATCTGTGCATATTTGCTTGTTTACATACACTAATGAACTTCATGAAACAGAGTCCTTGAGAAGCTGATAACTGCTCAGCTGGTCATTGAATTTCTTGCGTTGAATGGAATTCTGAGATCTGTATACAGGAGCCAGCCGCTGGCATTTACCCTGATCCACTAGAATATATTACACATTCTCATACCCGGTATTAGGCGTAGGCCTCTGATGAAAATCATCGGCACGGAAGAATCAACAGTTTCATTTAAGAGAGGGACTCGGTCGTCGAGTCGGGTCTGTTTGATTTTCTTCTTTGAGCTTCTAATGAACACATAAACAATGATAATAATCCACTTACATAAGTAACGTTTAAATACCAAATCATTTAGGAAGACGTGAGATTTTATTATCCAGTGGATCATAATCTAGACTTCTGCCTTCCGTGTGGCCATCATGCTGCACTGTTAATAATCTATCAGTCGGTACCATATGAAAACAAATATGGACGTAGTCGTCTATGAGTCATAAATTAAGTTTCCATTGAATGTATCACCGACTGGATTTGAAGTTAAAGCTGTTGTAACTTGAGTTTTTCCGTTCTTTTACGTCGCAGTGTTTATTCTAGAATACGGAGTGGTTGGAAGTGTGGGCTAAGTGACGGCATGGCTGATTTTTGAGGTATTAGGAGGCTTTTTCATGACAAATGTGAATGTTATGAGAAACTGACAACACACTATTTATAACAGACTTCGACTGATGTTCATGTGCAAATGACAAAGTAGTTTCGTTTTTCTAGTCAGGGGGCATTCATATTTAATACGTGAATTTCTGTGAAAGGACAGAAGAGAAACTAGAAAATTGTATTGAGAATGATCGGAGTCCCTTAAGGGATTCAATCTTTGGACTCGTTATTTGAAAACTTTCTCCGATGTCTTGTTTCAATTCCTTTGACTTCCGATGCATAACATAGAGCAGGCTTTTCAGTGTGCACGGACGTTGAAGGTTCCAGTGAGTCTAAACAGTCTTTAACACTCCTAACAGGGCAATTTTTGTGTGTCTGAAAAGGGCAGAACCCATGGAAAAAACTGCCATTCCAGAAAATCAATGACTTTTTTTTAACAGTACACTAATTATTTCACGGGTACTGGTTGTACTGACTCGGCATGGTGTCTAGTGCTTGCTGAGTTTCAGATTTAGCTCTTCAGTGTATTTGGGTGATTTAGATACGCTGGGTTTATTAAAGAAACATTTATAAATCCGATGGGCTGGTCACCGTGATTCTTTTGATACCAAGTGCCCATGAAATAGTGACTGTAAGAACTGAGCCACAGGTGTGGGAGAAGTGAGCATTCGCTTTGTCCTGTGGAAACCGTGTTTTAGGGAGTTCGTATGGTAGGTACTGACAGACGTTTCGGAGGCAGAGACCTGAAACGTTGGTAAATATCTACCACATCGCAATGATAACCTGAAAATTTTGTACATGTTTCACAGTCGCGACGTAATGTTCAATGTTGATTCTGTCATTGATGAAGGCAACGTAGAGATTTTTCTTTGATATTGGAGCTCATGAGGATAGTTTATCGACCATATTCTAGGTTTCTGGTAACTAATGTATCTATCTAAATGGATTCAGGCGCCGTGTTTCTAGAACCAGCAGAGTTCCCCGTCATCAAGATTGAACCGACTGTAGTGCGGTTGATCTGGCAGTTTTATTCGTATTGAGATGCCTGAAATAGATGTTATATTTTAATTTTTTACTGCAACTGAAAATGTCTTCTGGCAGTTTTACAAATTGCAGAAATTTGTAATAAGAAATCTCTGTTTGAAGTGGAAGTCATCATAAATATCCAGAAAGAAATACTGTGTGTTCGAAAAGAGACGCAACCCATTGACGAAACGCTTCCTCCTGACTTAATTAAGCCAAATAATTGTGTAGTCTTAAGGAAAGAATGTTGGTCTTTGAAAGTTACATAAAACGAAACACAAGAACTGGTCGAAGTTGCATAATGACCACTATTTTCAATAATTGATCTGGCTTAGTATCAGTTTATTCCGTGTCTAGTGTATTTTTCAACACACACCGTACATTTACTCAAGTAAGAAGCACGTGTAAAGACGTTACCACACTTTTAATTTTTTCCGCCATTGAAAAGCGAACGAAAATCACGTGGGTTTTGTTTACCCTTGCTGCATATTTTAATGAAGTTGTGTATATGCTTCACACACACAGATGTTTGCATGTCTAATTCAGTTTTATAGTGCAGTCAAGGTGACTCGTCTTATGAGACAGAACCTTGCAGCAAAGTACGTGACTATAGGAAAAATGTGCCCTAAAAACTGTGTAAGGGGCGAAACATGAAGCAAATGATCTCATAAATTATTCCTGAAGGCGACTGTCTTCTGTGATATTGCGTGTATTTTTGTACAATGTGACCGACGTTTACTGCCTCCACCATCAGGGAGACGTCGTCGAAATTGACCGACGTTACAGAGGAGATCGCCCTTATGAAGGCACCTCTGAAACGTTGGTCATTTTCTGTGAGACTTCACGGCCCAACATGCCGGAAGACAGTAATTTTCATACTCGCGTCGTGAGAACCTGAAATATCATAAAATTATTTTTGTTCTCAAAATTTCATATGTAGGTGGGGTCATGGCGCAGTGCATCTGAGAGCACAAACTTCGTGCGAAGTAACTTTCTAATCGGGAAGTAGGCAACTGGGTAACTTAAGGTCTTCAGCGATTGCTGTTGGCTACAAGTCAAACGATGGATGAAGTCGTGACTTCCTTGAAGATGCAGAGGCGAGATCTCGGCTCCATTAGTCACTTAAATTTGCAGTGCCTTTACGAGTTGATAGTAACTCGAAGAAATTAATTTCCTGCTTTCAGCCAACCCGAGATTTAATTATAGTGTTCACGAAAGCGTACTGTTTGTCCTTTCATTGGCCGTTTGAATACAATTGTCACCTCGCACGCGATTGCTCGAATATCCATTTGGATATTATCCTCCCATTTACGTTAAGATTTTTATGCGATCTTTTACCTAGAGGTATCTTGTCATACATTTTGTATGCATTTCTTATTTTCCTCATACCTGCTGTGTGTTAATGTCGTCATAATTGATTCCCATAATTCTAGTTGAATTTTTATTACCTTCATGAGCTTATGATTTTTCTTTCGCGATTAACGCAATTCGATTTGAGTTTTTCGACCCCACTTTGGAAGCTACTGGTATAACGGCTACGTTTTTCCCTTTGCGATGACGAAAAAAAAGGATCTTTTCCACAGGAATGACGTGGAAGGATGTATGTACGCAACGTGAAACGGACAATTCAGAATTTTTGAGTGTTGATCGTTGGATGAATGTGACAGCCGAAGTCAAGACACGCGAAAGTGATGTTTGTTTTAAAAAGGCCCACTTTGTACGGACACATACGTTAAGTAGTTGTAGGCAAATGGGAAAAAATGTTAGTGATGGCCTATTTTATTTTCATGAAGAATAAAGTATTTGCAATCTCCTCAGACAGGACTATCGGAACACTTTCCTCCAGTCTCACTCTTGGAGCTGAAGGTATCCCACTGATCTATGTTATACCGCTGTATGAGAGCTAACAGACATGATTTCCTGTTTGTTATTTACTGGGAGGAATGGAGGGAGGATTCCAATTCCTGTACATTGGCGCCTTGTAGTCTTATAGGTGATTACCAGCGTTTTGGAGTAAACGCTGAAGACTTAGGATAAGATTATAGACTCCTCAGAGAATTTGGGAACCAGCTGCAATACTGCAGATATATTGAGTCATGACCCAGAACAACAGAATCCAGATTTTTAGAGCAGCGGAAATATCCAAACTTGTATAATTTACTTTCATCTAACCACACTCATTTAATTTGTACTAGCCTTGATTTTAGCGGAACCAAGCTTAACCGCGCAAATACAGAAAAGAAAAGGTTTGAAGCAACAGCGAACTGGGCGTGTACCCCACACCGTTTAACGCTGGGACCACCGTTTCATGTTCTGCCTGGTACAGATACGTCGCTTTTATCAGCGTCGTTTTGTGAGGTGTTGCAATGTTCTGGGCTCCATCCAAGCGATATTCACAGCTTGGCTTAAAAGTCATTTTAGGTGATTTAACGACATCATTCAGTTGCAAACGTTGCAGAGCTTTGAGCGTCGAATGAGATGAAAAGATGATCGTGAAGCTGGAAAGGATTTGGAGGCGGTTGTGTCATATTTTACTGTACTGCCTTACCATTTGCCTAGAGTCGCTGAGAAATCGTGACCGGGATTAGAACTTGATGCCTTCAAAATGTAAATATGGAACGTTACCTATACACCAATTTGCTCGATCGCTTGTGTTTGCGATTTATTTAATGACGCCGTTAATAGCTCCGACTGAATGCTTTGCTTGTCTTTATATGGATTTTGGGAAACTTACCGGGAAGTAATCGTGATCTTGATCGGCAATCAGTATTTTTCCTGAAAAGCGCTAATATCTTTATGATTACGAGTTTGGTAATGATATTTTGTAAAAAGTAATGATAATGCAGTTAAGAGGACGACGTATCTAAAAATAAATTAAACTTCAGGATTTGGTCATTTTAATAAACATTTTCTTGGATATTATCCATCGTCTAGTAAATAAAATATAAAACGTGAAACGACGTTTCGGAGATGGGGCTCTATCTCCGTCTTCAGGTTCCTACTCAATTGGGCCCATCTCCGAAACGTCGTTTTACGTTTTATATTTTATTTACTAGACGATGGATAATATCCAAGAAAATTTTTATTCAAATGACTCATCACCATCGTCAAGAACTTTTAGATTTCATATTCAGGATTTGGGGTCATTGGTTGATTTTACCTGGTACCTAAGGCAAAATGGGCCATGCACAGTAGGTGTACCTCAACATAATGGTTGCACATGTTTTATTAAATCGTGATCATTAATCCGAGAGCCAAGGAAAATAAATTAAAGTTGTGATTTCAGTTTCATTTGAAATACAGTAAATAAACCAAGAGAGACTCCACAAAGATGAAAGCAGTGTTGGTCCAATCACATGCGTCACTGTTTACGGAAGTGGATCGCCTTCCGGCTCTGTTAGCAGTGGAGAATGTCTGAGTGATTATGCCGTGTCTGGGATCAATCCGCACCGAGTCTGTTCGCCCTCCTGGTTCCACTGCTGAAGAGCTCAGTGACAAGCACTAAGCAGCCAGTGACTGGTTTTGGAAGGCGAACATTTTCCGGAGGTTAACGACTTTCAGAAACTAAATAAAAAGTCGATCTAATGGCAGTGTCCTACCCCTCCTGCTGGCAGCAATTGTAGCAGTCGTTTTATAAGTGACTTTGTAATAAACTGGGTTCAGGAACGTTTCCCCGTGAAGTATAAACTATTTGTTCCTGGAAATATGTGCAAGGACATAAGAATGTCTGGAATTTGTGATCTTCAAGTTGTAATAAAAGAGAACAGCAAGTAATTTTTTAAGAACACTTTAGTTAAAATGTGTGAAGTGGAATTCGTGAATATCCCACTTCTCCTTCAATAGGTATTTTGTGGTTAAGCGTGGCTGAAAAACATGCTCGTTAATTTCATTGTCCGCCTGTTGAAGACAGAACATCGAGGGAAGCTGCACTTGTGTTGGGCAAGTTCGAAGTACAGACCATAACCCAGAAGCCTTGTGTTGCTTTCACAGTTGGCAAAACATTTATACACACAACTTCGCTTTATCTTTCGAGTGCAAACAATAAACTTGTGTTAAAGTAAGCATTGAGCTGAAATAAGTTGGCGAAATTTGCCGTTAGGGGTTTTCATGTGCAGCGGTCGTTAGTTCGGTAACAGACGTCAATCCAGCCTTCGGCAAGACAGTGATGTTAACACAAAGGACGTAAGTTGAACGTCAGTGAAGATTTGTATGACCTGTCCCTTCCGAGGGGCTCTGTTGTATCTCAGGAAGAGGCGGTATGAGAGACTGTCTTCACCTGCCCGCTGGACGGAGGCGGGGGACACGGTGAGCCCCATGGGACAGAAGCAGAGTATGTGCCCCATAAACGGCTGCCTTCATTATAAGAGTAAGTACCCGTTGTTATGGTAGGAAGGTCAAGGCGGCGAGTGTGAAGGTGGCTGCCGTCTGGGTTGTTGTGTAGTCTGGTAGTCAGGTGATTACCTCGAAGATGAAGGCTGCAGGGACCTTACGTTGGTTAACATCGACCATACTACACAGCGCAACAACCCAGAAGACAGCCATCTTGAAGTATGTAGTTTATGAAAAAAGGAAGTTATTGTAGTTAACTGGCTTAAGCTACGACAAAACAAATTATTGGTTCCTAGGTTATTTAAAAATGGTGTTTAAACTGTAGGGATTAAAAAATGTTGATGTAGTGTACATGGCGTAACTGTGAAGCTATTATCGAAAATTAAAGTTTTGCTGATACCAAATGAAACAGTTTGTCAGTAACCGACAGGTACAGTAAATATTGTACTAATGTTATATTAAGTTAAATGCCTAATTCTGTTAGTCCCATTGAGGCAGTTTACATGTTGTGTTTCTGAGGTAATTTTTAAATTCCAAATGGTTTCTTTAAATCCAGTTTATTCACAGAAATTAATATGCTCTTCCTTCTTGCATGCATGGTAATTTGTTTCGAACGTGAGCGACGCTGTCGGATCTGTTCGTAGGTGTGAGCTCTGTGATTGTGGTTTGAGGCCTTCATAAAGCCGTGCAACTCGGGGTCGATGAAACATCTGACAATTCTAAGGCCTGGAACCTGATTATGGGCAGCAATCAGACAACAGAATAGCGAATGCATAATTGCTGTTAAGGTTCATCATGGCTCCAGGGTAGGGGCCCTCCATGGTCTCCCTTAACGCATGTTCTCGAAATTTGTCTACATCAGCGATGAACGTCACACGAATTCGATGCAGGATTTTTTTTAATGCAGCCATTCAAACTTCGCTCCCAGGCGACACGATTGTTCGAATGTTATTTTTAATTTTGTTAAATTACTTATATAATAATTTTAGTTTCTCATACTTCCTTTGGTTTTCGATAAGAAAGCTTAAGTGTAATTTGTACATACTTTAGGCTTTCTTATCGAGTACCAAAGATTTATCGGGAGGCTTGGAAAAATTACATAATGAGGAACTTAGCAGTTTGTACCTTTAACAGACATCATTAGGGAGATCAAATCAAGAAAGATGATATGGGTGTGGCATGTAGCACGAATGGGAAAGATGAGATGACGTGAGTATAAAATTTAGTCCAACAATCTTAAGAGGCCATGTAGGAGACCTAGGAATAGATGGGAGGATAATATTTGGGTGGATCATTAGCAAATATTATGTGAGAATACGGATTGTAGTGATTTTGCTCGGCACAGTGATCAGTAGCGGGCTGTGATGAACACGGTGATGAACCTTGAGGTTATTAGACTGACAGTCTTCTGGGCAGAGAACTGAACTCAGTAGTAGAATGAATGAATGAATGATTGTACGAGTGTTGTGTGTATTACACAGTTTATTCATTTACAAATCGTAGTATGAGTCTTCATTTCCCATTCCAGTTAAATGTGTACTTTGTTATCCGCCCTGGGTAAATAATTTTGTTAAACCTCGAATCAATAGGCTTGAATGTATGTGGAGAAATATTTCATAGGCGGTATTAAGCGGATTATATAGGCCTAAACGAGTCTGCACAGCTTCAAAATTTTCAATTCATTAGTCGAGAGTACTCATACATGCATCTGCTATTAAGTGAAGTGAATAGATGTGGGTATGAAATTTAATCTTCACATTGTGGAGTGCAGAATATGTACGGTCCGCATGTACATGAAAGTTTTAATAACTATCTTCGTGGAGTCCTTTAGAAGCTAATAGTTGCTCAGCTAGACAAATTTTTAGTTTTTCTTTGTAGAATCCGAATTTACGTTGTCGCGATATTTCATTTCTGACAACGAAGAGGATGAAGATGGCTGTCTTCAGAATTTGCCCTTGGTTTGTTGGTATGTATGTTTCATGTTTAGCACAAACAGGAGAACATAAAATATAACTTTTCATGCATTGCGAATATTCATGCTGACCTAGAAAATTAATAGACTCGTAGATCTGGATCAGATTTCTTACGGTCTTATGATTAATTAATTATTTCGTAATTTGATGGCGGTTTCGCCACCTGGCCTTTGAGCCTTGATTTATTTGGTAGGCCTACCAGTAGCGCCATTACAAATTTACCGACGTTTCAGAGGTGCCTGCTGCCTCCGTCATGAGCCATCGCCCTAATGATGGAGGCATCAAGCACTTCTGAAACTTCGGTTAAACTCCTAACGGACTACACGGCCCAACAATTCAGAAGACAACTACCTTTATACTCGCCACAGTGAGGACTTCATACCTTAGATATTATATTCTTAAACAGCGTTAACATCAACGTCATGATTTACATGCGGTAGAAGATGAATTAGTTTGTATTATTTAGACGAGCTGTGGTTTCAAGGATTAAACTACACTTTAAAAATCGTGTATGCAATCCACGTGCCTATGTCAAATTTGAATTATTCCTACAAGATAGACATTTGTTTAATATCACGTATTTTTATTTTAGGGGTCCGCAGTGGCCTCTTGGTCGCTTGGCCACTCAAGCCATGGATGTTTGTCCGCGTTTTTCTGTGTTGTGCTGTCCTGTGTACAGGTAGAGGCCTTGCGACGGGCCGATCCCTCGTCCAAGGAGTCCTACCGAATGTCCATAGATCAAGCCAACGAAAAGTTGGGACCCGCAGTGCTCAGGCACTTGAAGAACGGGTCGTTCCCAGTATCCCAGTATTTTTATTTTAACTTGTTAACGTTATGTTCCGTGCATGTTTCAGCAATTATGAGTGGTATTCTCGTTATGTTGTACTATTGAAAGTTAACGGTACTTTGATTATAAAATGTTTTTTTGAATATTGAATTTAAACACACATTAAAGTACACTATTTAAAAGTAAGTTGTAAGTATGTCCGACTTTGGATATCTGCATTGTTATTGGATTTACATATGTCATTTCTTTGACTATTCAAATATTAAAATCCATATGCATTTCTAAGTAAAATTTGCAGATGAATGCAAATAATATTGAACTTCCTTCCTAATGCTAGGAATCTTTTACGGGCAGTATCGATGTTTGTGTTAATTTTTCCCTAATCCTTTCTCCTGCATTTTGACGCATATACTACACCGTCCTTGGCGTATGAGGTAACAAGTTCTGTTCTTATTATCGAACATCGTCATAAGTATTTAGCATCTCTGCTCTGTATTTTGGAGGAACTTAATTCAAATCTCGAGCCGGAGATCGGCTGTCTTGAGTGAGGTTCTTAACGTGGTTTTGAGGGTAGATGTCGTGAGTGTGCCTTAAATCAAACGAATGCCACTGTCTTCTATAGCATATCGAATGGGTTTTCTGGGTTGTAAATGAAAATGCTACTGCGTATCTGCTGTCACGATGTGAAATTTTATGGTTTGATGTGTTGCTGTTATTCAGAGAAGGAACATAAGTTTTGAAGTTGTATTGAGAATAATGGCAGAATGAATAAGGGATACAGGAAAGGACGAGAAAGCTATCCGGATGTTCGTGGGTTGGGTATAATACCAAGGGAAAGAAGATTACGTTTTGGTTGGGCTAAATTTTAATTACTTTTAATTCGGCTATTTAAAATTCTTGTTTGGTGGTTCAGTTCTCGGGAGTCATGCCCAGTGAGCGGAGTATGTTGAGGCGTCTGGTACGAATATGAACTTGCAACATAAATGCAACTGCACTCCTCCGGCAGCCATTTTTGTTGTTGTTGTTGTTGTTTATGTTTGAAGAACGTACGACAGTGCTGTCGCCCGTGACAATTTATTTCCCAAGCTGATTTACATAACGGGTTTATTTTTACCATAAAAGGCTTAGGATGGCGGATTAATACTTAGTCCGGCGGAAACGATTTCATATATTTTTTTAAGGTTCCGAATGAGATGAGATGGTCCTTAGGGGCGTGGACAAATGAAAGTATTTCAAAACCGAGCTTTTGTATTTGTAGGGTTCTTTTAGGAGTAAGACAGTACGCTTAATTTATAAAGAAACCACATTCCTATAATAATATAAATGAAAGAGCTTATGAAATCTGTGAACACGTACAACGCGAATTACCTCGACGTGTCTAATCAACCAGGAAAAATAAAACATCATAGTACGTATTACTTATATACGAATGGTGACGTCATTTACATTGCGTCCTTGGTGGGAGAACAAGGAAGTTCTCTGTAACACGCACATGTTATTTTAAAGGAAAAATAAAATACTATATTGTCCAAATATTAGATATATTATAATATCTCTTTATTTTTCAGCTTGTTAATATTATTATTGCTCCTTGTCAAGTATCGTGGTGTTAGATTTGTGTCTATGGACAGTGTTTTCTTCGTATTATGTAGTCCATTAGGAATTAATTAATATACGGATTATTCCGTGAATCTGGGGCCACACGTGTTCTCGGTTCATTGGCTAAATACGGAAGACCCACATTTGAGAGTTGAAAAATGTAATTTACAATATTTCCCTTCTTACATTCTTCCATGTTTTGCCCAATTGCAGTGCTGCTGTGGCCCTTGACTTATGAGCCTGTATCTCTTGATGTCGAAGACAGTTTTGGGAAAGAAAGTTCTATTAAAATATTACTAAGTGATGGAACAGAATTGTTGCATCGGAAAAGAGTACTTCTGAACTCACATTTTGAGTGGCAATGACAAAAGACTGGGAGATCCGTAATCTGACAGAATATGACTCGAGTCATTTTCGGTCCAGACAGTATTGTGTTCAATTGCCTTACTATCGAAGCACATCTTCAAAAATAAAACGTAATTTTTCATATGGCTATAAAGGAATTAAATAAAATGAGCAAGAAGATTTATAAATATTTCGCACAAACATTAATAG